GAGTCAGGTGCGTTAGATGCCTTAGTGTCTACCAACAGTATGATCTTTAGGGATCATTCTGGGAAGTCCATTGCATTTTGATAAATGTTTCATATCAGAAGTATAAAATCCTCCTCACGGAGACCAGGAAAATTAACTGGTGAGCAGTATCATCACTGATTTATGATGAAAGCATTCAAAAACTGAATGATTAGCTAGGGCGAAACACAAAACGTTTCTAACTGATGGGAGAAAAAGAATACCACTATAATCTTACAAAACGTTTCATGATCATGCGTTAACCATAAGTTTGAAAACACCGGATATTTCGCGCTAGAGGAAATTAGCATCCGGCAATGATTAACAAGATGACGAGGTAATGCGGTATTAGAGCTAGATACGCTTCGCCAAATTGTAATGGAAAAAGCCACAACAATTCGAGGTTTCAAGAGTAACTGAACCAAATGTAGACCATTTAACGATTTCATATAGACGTCGTCAAAATTCAAACGACTTTTTGTGGAGCAAAATTTTACGGCCAAGTAATAAGTTATCGGTACAATTACACTCGGTGAATAAAGAAAGAATAGGAAAGCCACTGAAATATATTGAAAAGAGAAAGGGGGAAAGAATGATCTATTGTAGCACCCTTGAGTTAACAGGCAAAGACGCAGAAGTAATCATGAATGATTCGTAAAATATTTAGATTCACACGGTATTCTGAAAGCATATTCAGCACAGTGAGCAAACAAAAGCATCCCGCAGTTGATGTGTAACAGGAGCATGGTCTTACACCTACCATCTAGCGATGAAACTAGGCAGGGCACAAACAATAGGACAGCATCTAGAGTGGATCGTGGCTGGCCTTACGCGAACTGGTATTCATCATTAATCACTGCGTCAGAAACAACCTGAGGAAGAAGTAGCTCAATGCCTTTAACATCACAGAAGCTGTCAACCGGCATCTTCCAGGTAGATAAAGCTAGGTTGTGCCCAACTCTTTATGTTAAGACGCGCCTCCTGAACACACGAGAATGCTAGCGGAATACTACGACCTACTGCAACAGTATGGTGCCAAATATACTAGCTCCGACGGCACACTCATAGAAAAACCCAATTCATTCCTATTTTGTAACTAGAGATCAGCTAGGTAACCAAGGTGAAAAACCTGGATGTATATATACACAACCGGTTCCAAAACTCGATGGTTTGCAATAACACCTACAAGCGCTGCTGTGTTGAGCAGGAACTACCAGTCGGCGCCTAGAGTGAAAACTTCCTCACTGGAATGCGCACCTGTGGAGGAAATTGCATGGGCGTGCGTAAAACTATTTTACTTCATTCGAGCCACCAATATGAAAGAACAAACTTACAAGATAAAAATAGACTGTCGATGTGCGTACACCGTTGTCTAGGCTTTATTGCACGAGTTTCGTGGGGAAACCAGAAAAAAAAATAAAATTTATCAATGATCTCCTTTTCCAAACTGCCAACTCAATCCATTCTTTTGCCGATGACGTCACCCTCCACTGCTCTCTCTCCTATCGCACTGTTCGCCATGCCCAAATCAGCATCAATGGTGACTGTAGTACAGTTAATGTATCACTGGACTCCGATCTCATTTCGTCCTGGGGCATTACAAACTACGTTTCATTCAATAGTTCTAAAACCTCTTTCAATTTCTTTAAAACACTATTCACCCTCCCCCCCCCCCATTTATCTTTTAATTCCGCCCAACTGTTCCACAGACTCTATTTCCCTTCTTGGATTGCTTATAACTTCTTCTTGGGCTGGTCCCCTTTCATAGCTAAGCTTGCTTCTCGTGCTGCGCACAAGGTTGGATTTCTATTTCGCGTCAGACGTTTTTACACCCCAGCTCATCTTCTATAGTGCAAAGGTCAAATCCGCCTTGCTCCTGAATACCGTAGTCACGTGTGGGGTGGGGCTTCGTCTTCTTCTTTTCCCCTTCTTGATCGCGTTCAAAAAGGCCATCCAACTAATCGATGATCCTTCCCTATCATCGAGTCTGCAATCTTTAACCCATCGTCGGGCAGTTGCTTTATTGTCCCTGTTCTACCGCTACTACTTTGGTTTTTGTTCTTCGGAACCTGCCTCAGCAGTTCCTCTCCCTGTAACTTTTACCCGCCCATCCCGTACGCAGGGATCTCGTCACACATATCAGGTTTCTGTTCCCAGATATCGCACCTCTCTGCTCCAATCTTTTTTTCCATAACTACCAAACTGTGGAACACAATCTCACTTACTGTTTTTCCCCCAACTTACAATCTTACACTTTTTAAAAGCAACATCAATAAACTAGATCTTACGTAAATATTCCTCTACTCTCCCTTTTACAGTATGTTACTTGTCCATGGGGATTTCCCCTTTTACCCTTTTCACTTTGTGTAATAAAAAGACAGCCTGGGTGTTTTATCCCACTGTATCAAGCGATTGTTCGCCCACACAGAGCAATGTGTGTAGGCAAGGGTACCGTAATATAAGAGGGATGTTTAGCAAGAGTGCAACACCTAGCTATGCGAATGATGACTAGAAAGAAAGGGAAAAGCTATGAGCCGCGGCTAATCTTAATCTCTTTTCGCTGAAACGTAGACAAATGAGGGGAGACCTGATAAACTTTAAAAATTGTGAAAGGTCTACCGGAGCTCAAACTAGATGACTTGTTATCGAGTTCCCGTGTTCACGGTCAGTTGACCGTGAATCGCTTATGGGTTCGCTCCTTCGCGAAGAAATTCCACAAATGCATATGAACAGATTGGTCACTATAGTGGCACACTTCCGATAGTAACTGGGTCTACGGTGGACTAGGCAGATCGTTTGAAACCAGGATCGGTTCATCAAAGGTGCCCTATTTCACCCTTCCCATTCAACTTCGTCGTAGAGGACATACTGGAGAACGCACTCAGTGGTCTCTAAAATGTAAGTATTGAATAGACCGCTGGATAAAAGCTGTACGATTTGGAGTACGCTAACGACATCGCTTGTCTGTTCGAATGTATGGAAGATGCGCAAAGTGCACTTGACTGACTGGCAAGTTCTGTCGCTCCGTTCGGCATGCGCATTGCACCTTCAAAGTGCAAAAAGATACTGCAAGATTGGGTGTCGCCCGAGCCCGTTGGTCACGAATTAGCTGAAGATGATTGCTTCTGGTATTTAGGTAGCTGCGCGATTAACGACGGTAGCGCAAAAAAGGAGATAACCGTCCGCATTTTCAAGGCCGGAGAAGTGTACATAGGACTAAAACATCTTTGACGATGACGCGACGTTTCACAGAAGTTGAAAAGTCGCGTATCATGCGCCACTGTAAAATTAGTTCTGCTTTACGATTGTGAGAACTTGAATATGTGGGTAGAAGAAATCCTTCGCCTAGTGGTTTTTGACAATCGACGTTCATGTAATCTGACCGAGATGGGATGCAATGAACGGGTCACTGACCCATAAGTCGTCGAGTATTTGGGAATGCATCGAACATGAACTAGCAGTCGCATCGAATTCCGCCTAAAGGGCTCTTTTGTTTAGGACACGTTTTGCGTACCTACCACACTGCGCCGTATTTGCAGTGACCGCTGCAGACTAGAGAAAGCCATGTGGAAGCTAACAGATGACGTAGAGACGAGACAACAAAATGCACAGAGCGATTAGGTGTCTCTCGTCTTCCGAGTCAGGGCCCGAAAGATTTCGTAACTAGATGGCTGGAGAAACCGTAGGTCATGGCAGCAAACTGACAGCAGTAACAATCTTGATATCACTTCTTATCAGTTCAGAATGGTTGAAACAGTGTGTATACACAGCTGCACTACGTACTTTGTGTTGACCATAAAGGTTCGCTTTCTTTTACAGTCCGTAAAGATAGACCCAATTCCTATCCTCCTTACAGATTGTCGCTAACCATGTATGCAATATGAGTTTGGCAGCGATCACGGAAGTTTGCTTCATTGTATCATGCTGTACAAGGATGATGATGATCCCGTGCTCAACAAAATCACGCCAGGTTGGAGGTTGTTGGAAAATTAAAGCCTCAATTCTGGCTGTCCAGTTACTCTCTCTCTCTCGTTCGTCGCTCAATCAGTCGAGCTCATCAGAGAGGTACTGGACAACTTTTTCTCACACAAGGTCATACTCATGTGGAACAGGTTACGCAAGGAAATGGTCACCTGCACCATTGTTAACACCTTTAAGATGGCCCTGGATGCATTTTGGTAGGCAAAGATCCCGGAGGCTAACAATGAGTAAGAACAACAAGGATGAAATGCACCGTAGCCTGAAATTTCTGAAATGGAGTAAAATCGAGTTTGATTTTTGGAACTGGCCTCAAACTGAATGCCCTGCGACATTTGTTGTGTACAC